CCCCCCCCCCCCCGGCTGTTGGGGGATGGGAGCAGGGAACAGAGACCCCTTGCCATGTGGGTTGTTGACTCAGGTCTTGGGGGGGCTGGGTCAGACCCATGTAGCAGGGGGCTCTGTTCCCCCCCATCCCCAGTTCTTGGCACAGTGAAAAGCAGTGCACAGCTCTGAGCTGCAACCATCAGGAGGCTGGGGACCTGGTGTGGGGGGAATGGAGCCCCCTGCTATATGGGTCTGACCCAGCCCCCCCAAGACCTAAGCCAGAAACCTGGGAGGAACCCACATGTCAAGGGGGCTCTGTTCCCTGCACTCATCCCCCAATCACCAGAACTGACAACACCTAGTTGGTGCGGGGGCAGGGCCACACTGGCCAATCAGGGCTGGCTGACTGTGCAACACCCCTGAGTTTGCTGGCTTGCATCTTGAGGGGGAGGCAGGCTGGGCCTGTGTGACGGGTGGTGGGGAACTCTGTTCCAATCTCCTGACAGCTGTAGCTTGGAGCCACATGCAGCTTTTCACTGTGCAGGGAACTAGTGGCAGGTGGGTGGAGGAAAAAAGCCCCCCTGCCTTGCAGATCTGCCCCCCCCCCGATCCAAGCCAGCAAACTGGGGGTGGCATGGACAGCAGGGAGGCTCCATTTCCACTACCCGCTCCCCACACCAGCCTCGCCACTCAGGGAGGAGACCGAGCCTTTTCTGTCTCTTCTCTGGGACAGCACAGGGGCAGGGCTGGGCCAGTGCTTGCCCAGAGCAGAAAAGCACTGGCCAAGACTAGCACACTGCCCTGCAAGGGGCCCCTGGGATACCACCAGAATGCAACCTGGTATAGGTGTTACGTAAAGCTCCCCCTAAAACCTAAAACACTTTAATCTGATATCACATCCATCCAGGGTTAACTTAGAGCAGGATCCACATTTTTAAGTGTTTCATGTGCCATGAACATCTGTTTGGTTATTGCTGTAGAGTACTTACAATTATTGTGCAATAAGTGTAATGTCTGTACCAAACCAATATGTCATTGTCCACTCCTTTGTTTTGGTGTTTTTGTTTTTTACACTGCTCTAAAAGCAACTTATATTGGTATACATGTGTTGTATGTTCGTGACATCAAGCTTCCTAAACCAAATCTTTTTTTCATACCTTGGTATATCTATAGCATTTTCCCTGATTTGGCTTGCCTCATACAGAAATACATTTCATTAGGGGCACATGTTTGCCTATTCCAGGAGCAGCTTTCACTTGTTGCCACCTATTGCAGCTGGGGCTGCTTGGAGATTCTGGGGCTTTGCTCTTCCCTTCATGTTGTTTTCGTCCCTGTGTCTAAGCATCTGCCCTAGAGAGACAGGGTTTCTCTGCTGCTGTCAATAAATATCCATATGTATTTCAAAAGGGTATATTTCTGTTCATCTCTCTTTCTTTTCCTGGGCAGGGTCACAGTATCAGCTGTTTGTGGTGGGTGGTATAGTAAGAGGAAGGAAGATAACAGAGAAGAAAATGAAAGAGGGAGAGATACTCAGAGAGATAAGCCAGGTTCACAGAGTCCTAATCTGAATAACAGATAACAAGTCCTTGGGGCATTTCAAGTGGGTGTTTGTGTTGGCTCCACCACTAGAAAATATCTCTTTTGTGAGAGACAATATGACATCAGTTTCCCCATCTCTAAGCTGGAGATAATGATTCCTACCATTCCTTACAAAATGCTTTGGGATTTAGCCAGGAAAAGTCCCTTATGGTCCTGATCCACCACCAGCAAAGTCAATGGAAAGACTTCCATTGACTTCAGTGAGCTCTGAAAACCTTTGAAGAGCAGTGTATTATTATCATCATAGAGGTGCCTGGCAGAATTTCACCAGATAAGCTTCAAGTTTAAGGAATTTATATTGCAAAGACTTTGTCACAAGGCAACCTGCCCATCTCTCTACCTTCCTTCATTGAATCTGTGTATTTGTTTGTATAGGAGGGAAAACCAGACAGATCCAAGAAGCTAACTTGTTTCATACCCATTTGTCATTGACCCTGTTGCTAGCCAGGAACAGACACAACTCCAACTGATCTCCCTTCTACTTCTGTCCTTCTGCATTTAGCTCATGCATTCAAGGAATATTTTTTTAGGAAAGACCAATGTATGTTTAGTCCCTTGTTTGTCACTCTTGAAAAGATACAGAATCACACTGGTAACCACTCTGCTGTGCACTCACAGCCGAGGTTGAGGTCCTGTGGTCAGACTGTGCCTAGCCCAGGTTCGGGCACATAGGGCCAGATCCTTAATTAGATGTCTAACTCCTACCGACTGATTTTAATGGGAGTTGGACATATTTGATTTGGGATTTGGGCTTGAACCTTTTCGTAAGTGAAGTCTGGAGCCATTATAGCAACAGGAAGAGTCTGAGGCCATTTGTGGCTGTGTGGATTTCTTTATAAGTAGGATGCCTGTATTCTCAGGGGGGGTGTCTCCACGTGTGCTTTAATGTGCAGTAGACTATTTTATTGTGCATTGAAGTGTCACATAGAAAAGTGACATTATGCTAATGTGCAGTAAAATAGTCTACTGCGCATTAAGGTCACTAAAAAACTGCAATTGTGCTACTGCTCATTAGCACAGTGCAACGTGCATTCATTTAATACCTTACATTGGCAGTACTAAACTGAATGCACATTAGAAAAGGCACAATGATGCATGTGTAGATGCACCCAAGAAGGTCTCTGAGAAGTCTTATTAGATCATTTTGCTCCCATCCCTCTCCCTACCCTAGGAGGTCAACAGGTAGATGCTGTAGGTAATCAAGTGGACCAACTGTGTATGAGCAGAGGTAATAGGATTTAAAAGGGATTTTTTTTTAAATAGAAACATTATAAACTAAACCAAAAGGGGTTAGAAAGAGATTTCCCTTATAGGAAGCCTGTGTGGGGTTTATTGCACCTTCCTCTGAAAGAGTTGGCACTGGCTGCTGTTGGAAAGACCAGCTAATATTCTGCTCTAAACCAATGCAGAAATCTTCTGCCCTATGTATCTTGGGTACTGTCTGTTAACCAAGGAGTATTTTCATCCTGTGTCTGCTCACCCTGAGGAAGTCCCCTGCTAGCCAGCTTTGATCCTTTTAGTGCTTCTGTAGGTCTGTGTGGTAATGTGGTGAATGAGGTTGTGGGAAATAAGGCCGTAGTTGGACACAAAACATGAACCGAATGCCTGAGGACTCCGTAGAGCTTCACTTGGTTGCTAGGAGTCACTGCAAAGCATTCATTCAAATGCCAGCCGTCAGGCGAGGACCAGGACCTATCATGAGGGGGCCAGGAGGGCCATTTGGCCCAGGCCTCTCATTCATGGTGGGCCTCAAATTTAGACTTTTGACGTTATCTCCAAATGAGCTTATACATACAGACACAGAGCTATACTGAAAGGATTGAAAGAAGAAGACGTTCATCATACAACTTTAAACTTGTGTCCCATTACTGGGCCACACCGCCTGTAGTGCACTATGAATTAATAGTTTTTTAATATACCGGGAGCCTCAAAAAATGGAAGTGGCCCAGGCCTCTCTTGACCTCTGAGAGGGCCTGGCAAGGACAGGGACAAGAACAAACTCGGTTGCCAGCTCCCGGTTGTTTTTGGGGGGATTCTGAGTTCGGTGCCAGAGAAGGTCTCTCAAGAACCCACTGATCAATTCATAAGGGGTGGAAGGAGTCTGGTTTACGTGGCCTTGTCTCAAGTTCAGAGGACTCAGCAGTTTCTGAGAAGGATGCCTGACCTAGCTTTTGAAACAAGACAACTCTGTGCTCAAGCCGGTAAAGAAGTCATCTGCAAATACACACTAAATGACAGCTGCCTTTGTTTTTAACTGTAAATGTGCGTGTTGCTTAATCAGGACTGGCTTTTCCTGCACCTGCCCTTGAAAAACACTCACCATTTGTATCAGCAAGGTGCCATCCATAGGAACCCTGTCTTGGTAAAACGGGAACTGAATGAGAGGCGCAAGCTTGTATGCAAGCTGTGTGAGAAGCTTTCTGATGGCAGCAGTTACCCAAACCCATAGTGCAGAAATCTTGGGATCATGACCAAGACTTACCACAGAAGGCCTCTTGAAACTTATGGGTCAGCTTCTCAATGACGCTGTAGCTCTCCACGTAATCCACGTGTTCATCCAGAGGCTCGCTAGCAATTTGCCGAAGGGTATTCATGTCCACTCGGCCCACCCCGATGGCAAAGATTTCAATGCCCGCAGCTTTTGCTCTAGTCGACACATCCTTTACGCCATCTTGGGGGCGCCCATCAGTCACAACAATTGCCACCTACGAAACACGGGAGGGGAGCACAGAAACCAGGTAACAGACTCTCTCTTCGCACTCGTCAGAGCAGCTGACGTGATGAGCCTCTGGCCCTTTCTGCCTCACTGTAATTCGTTCACTTGTCCATATCTACGTGTCTTCAAATCACTGGAATTAAAGGCAAAAGCGAATCCCTGCTCTCCACAGCACACCACCACAGCAGAATAGTCTATTTTTGGTTCTCAGGTGGTTTGTTCTCCATCAAAAGAGATGAATGAGTTAAACTGGTGTTATCTTGAGTACTTGAAATAAGGAACGAAAAGTTGGTGCCAGCTTTAAGAAAACTAGGGCGGAAGTAGCAGTTCTAACATGTAACATTAATTCTGGGCCAAGTTCAGCTCTTTACTCAAGTGAAACTCTTAACGAGGTTAAGAAGTCCTCTGACTGAATAAATCACTGAAGGTTTTGGCTCTGCCATATGAATTTTTATACTATGGCACTTTTGTAACCTGAGGATCTCAGAGCACTGGAAAAAAGGCCATGGTTAGTGTTTATGTCCATTTTATAGATGGGAAAACCAGGGCACATAATGGGGAGGTAACTTGCCCAGGGTCACCCAGTAACTTGGTGACAATTAATGTTTCTGAATCTCAGGCCCTGCTAGAAAATCCGCCCGGGGGGAGAGAGATATTTCTGGCCCTGCCATAAAAAATAGAAAAAAATGACAATGGATTCCAATGGGGCAGGATTTCACTCTGGATCATGCTTCTTTCTCAGCTTTGGAAAGCTTCAGAAAGATCTGCTGTGGGTAGATTGTCAATTGTCCTCATTATTTCCTTGACTGGGGACATTTTCAGAAAAAACCCCAGGATCTTTGCTCTTTGACAAATCATCTGTTCCAGCTGCTTTTTCCTAAAGCAGCTTTATTCTGACACTGCTATCTACTCCAAAGCAACTCGGGATGTCATACAGGAGGGTGAAATATAATCAGTAGGAGCAGGTGAACTGCCAAAAACAACAATCTGTATCACAGACAAAATGTGCTCAGCTATACAGGAAATAAAGAAGCATCCGAAGACAAATGTAGTAAATAGCCAAGGCAGCAACAGCAGGATGTTGAGTCACCCATCAAGAGGCTACGAAGGCTAAACTGAGAAGTAGTATTTACCACCGTGTGCTGGCCCTTCTACATTTCCATTCTGTGTGTTTACACAGTTGAAATCACAGAGGAGTTGTACAGAGACTCTCCAGTTGTCCAGATTTAGTAGCTTTAAGGCTGCTGCATACTGCTAGGGTGAGACAAAGCAATCTCAGTTGGGGCCAGGATGTAGCTCTTACAATGCACTGATCTGAAAGGTATGGAGCCTGCATTCTGCTAAGTGCCCTTGTATTTAAGTGCTTATCTGAACTTCCTAATGGCTGCAAAATTGGGTTCAAACCATGAGAGGAGTATAAGCATTCTGGAACTTACTCTTTCCAACTGTGATACAAATATTGCAGATCAAGTCCTAGGAGCCAGGTCTTATTCCACCAATTACATGCCTAAATGCAATCCTCTTCCCCCCTGCTCAAGTCCCTGAAAAAAAAAGTAATGCTCCTATTTTGGTAGCATGCCAACACCTTAGCTTTGAGACTAAGTCACAAAAAAGTAGAGAGGTGGTGTTAACTGTTTAGTGTTTAGTATTAATATTTTTTCAGGCAGGGTGGAAAAGGATCAACACTTCGGTGGCCTAAATCCAGTTAGGTACCTCGCGGATGGAACAGGATCTGGCCTCTAGGCTGCATCTCAACACTTCTGCTTCTAGTCAGAATCGGGGAAAGAGGGCATGAAAATGCTTAATCAATGAAAACTTGCCAGTGTCGGCTGCAAGATTAATCATTGGGAGGAAAAAGATAACGATGAATTTAAAATATTCACAAGTGTAACTTTCTTTTCCCCTTTATTGACCTGCAGCATCAATAGACACATCGGTCAGGGACACGGAGGTCTCCCTCCCACCGTCCTTTCAGAACTCAGCCATGCAATCCACGCTTTTTGCCAGAAGAGAGAGCCATTGATTCAGCAACTCCAGGTGAAAAATGCCACTTGGCAAAAGCCAGAGCTAATGGCTTTGCTTTCATGCACACAGTACAGTGGTGCGGATAGGGGCTGCTGCCAATTAGAGCTTATCAAACCCTACCTGTCATGAAACAAGATACACTATCAAATAGCTTTAGTAAGAAACACTACCCTGTGAACAGGCTTCTGTCAGTAGTTAACTATGTCTCTAACAGCATCTGTCACCAGTACAGGCTTGCCGGGTGCCCTCCTTGCACTTTTGCTGTTTGAATCAGTTAAGTGGAGTGAAGCTCCCAGCTTAATCAGTAATTCTAATTCTTTAACATAACTGACTTTAAGCCCACTGATCTTCATAATTTAGACATGAACTTGAGCCAAACCCCCAAATCCAATCCCAGGAGCTGTCTGATGTCCAAACCCAGGTCTGAATCCAATGGAAGCTATATTCAAAATGGCTCTGTACAAAAATCTTACTCAGCGGCGATGCATGGGACTCAAAATTCATATCCGGTTCGGGGCTTTTGTGGTTCAGCCTAAGTTTAAGCAGGTCAAATTTCAGAATGAAGTTTTACACTATAGATGTACAATGGTTTAGTGAACAGAGTGTTAGCCCCATAAGTCAGGAGACTTATGGTCTGTCCCCAGCTCTGCCACTAATCTGCTCTTTGGCCTTGGGCAGGTCACTTTCTCTCTCATTCCCCATCTCCCCTTTCTCTATCAGGACAGGAATTGCCTTTCACAATATATATGTATGCACCCAGATTCTATTCCACTTTTATATCTTTCCCACAAGTCATGCAAAAATCATGCATCCTGCTTTGCAGTACAATCCAGATCCACAAAGAAAGATACACAGCTCTCCTATTGTCTTGGTTACAGTTTAGTACACACACAGGCCATGTCCAGACAAGTGCGGCCGTGTGGTATGTGGTGCAAAAATGTCTGTAATCTGACATACTGTCCATTCAGATGTTGTCTGCACTGCAAGGGAGCACTGCCTGCGTATGTGCTGCTCTGTTTTTTTTTCCCCCCATGGGCTTTTTGACTTCTGGATATCCACAGGTCAAAAAAACCAGCAGCACATGCACAGGCAGCACACGCCACTCAAAAGTGGAGCTGGGCCACCCAGAGCTGCACTGCGGCTGCTGCCCAGAATTACTGCTGCTGCAGCTCCAGGAGGATCCCAGGACCACAGGTAAGGCTGCTGGGACCAGCACAGTGCTAGCCCCAGGCTCCCCTACTCCACCTGGGGTAACTTGCTGCATACCAAAGCGTATGGTAAGGTGCACCAGTGGTAGGGAACCAAACGTCCACATCTGTGTGGACACGGCCACAGAAGCCCATTCAATCCACCAGGAAAGACCACGACTATCCTTTTCTTTCAGTAGGGAATCCATCTGCCTTTGTTGTTCAGAGTTTTAGCCCTTCAGCCCTGCAGGCTATCTGCCAACAGCAGGTTTTGGCTCACAAGATGGGGAAACACGACTTACAGGTGTCAAAAGCAAACAAGCAAAACGTGAAAAAGAACAAAGAGTGAATACGGTATTAAAAAGTATAAAAAGTCTCTCTTCCCTGACAGCATGGTAAACTCACCATGGTGAACACTGTAACCATGGAAACAGAGAAGGGAAGGCCTCTGGTGAATCAAAAAGCTGGTTAAGAGAGACACAGGAAGATAAAAGGACTAGTTAAATGGCCAGTTCTCTGCTAAGTAAAATGCTCTGTACTCAGGACTACAAAACTGTGCTGACCCCCTAATAGAGCAAATTAGCATTACATTTTTAGATTACTCCATCTGAAAGTAAAAAAAAAATATGGGGATCTGCAGATCTCTTGGGTGCTATGGAAGCAAGGACAGGTGCCATTTAAACTATGTGGGATTGATTAGTTAGAAAAAGATCTGTACATTTTTATGGCCAACTTAATGAACATGTCTGTTCAGTCTTCAGTAGCCAAGGCAGCATGCAAGATGACAGGCTGTATTAGGAAAAGGAATCAGGAATGATACAAAATGTTATAATAGCATTGCATAAATCAGCAATGCATCCTCACCTTGACACAAGCTCTGTTACCTCATCCTTAAATGTACAGAGATGAATTTGAAGAGGAGCCAGAGAAGACAGAGAAAAGTGATGAGATGTCTGTGGAACAAGGGTAGCTTGAATAACTGGGCATGGGTTCTGTGCGAGACTGGACAACAACACCATAATTATTTACTAAATATGAAAGGTGTGAAGAAAAGGAAGTTAAGACAGAGGTATAGAAAATAATGGTACGGAGAAGGCCACTCAGGCAGGAATGCAAGGCATACTGAGACCAGAAATCCATATTCATGCAGTGTCTGACTAACCGGAGGAACCACCCATGACAGGAAACAACTGAGACAAAATGGTCAGTAAGGTTTAGGAGCACAGGACAGGGGCCTCCTGGCTCAACAAGTCCAGCTTGCTGCCATCCTAAACCACCACAGCATATACAATCCCTTTCACACACCAATTAAGTGCCATCTTAAAACCAGTTAGATTATTTAGCTTCTGCTGCACCAATGGGAAGGTTGTTCCAGGATTTCACTGTTCTGATGTTTAAAACATGTATTCTAACCACTAGCCTAAATTTATAAGAGGATTCATCTTTTGGGGGCCACAAATCTTTTAGTTAGATACAACACTCAGGCCCAAATCCAAGATCATTATATAGGCAATTACTACATCAGTCAAAAGGACTTTTAAATGTTTGAGACTGAAACAGAAGCCGAGCACTGGATTTTGTCCTATTGTCTTTAATGGGATTTTTCTTGGGTGTAAGAGGAAATACTGGGTGCATCTACATGTGCATTAGATCCGGGAGCAGTTTACTCACAAGTGAATTACTCACAAATAAATGCTCCTGGGCAGGTGTCTGCATGTACAGGGAAGCTGAAGCAGATTTGCTGCTAAAGGCAGCAAACTGCTCCAACTTCCTGGGG